ATATCTTTTTTATTATTATAACAATTTTTGGAGGCAGATCAGGCTGGGCAGCATGGGAAGAGCTTGGAAATCTTGGGAAATTGAAAAGTGGGGAGACAAATCACTGCTGTGGTTAAAGGGATGGGGAGGAGAGGAGGGCACAGCCCCGTCCCCACTGGGTCAGCTTGAATTTTGGAGCCCTGGGAATCAGCATCGTCAGGAGAGACTCACTAGGAAAGCGGAGGCGGCATCAGACAGAAAGGGTTTAAAAAGTCTACAGGTCTCATCCAGAGTGTTATTTTATTCCAGACTTACTTTTTGACAGGGAAAAAATTAGCTTAATCCACTGCCTCTGCTGCCGAGGAGCCCATGATAACCAAATAGCTTTGTCCTCGATATGCTGGAGCTGCCTTGCCAGAGCGATTGACTTTTCTCTTTTAAAGCCGAGAGGCAGATCCTCAGCCCATACAAACGGTCCTGCCGTGGCTGTTGGCATCAGCTCAATATAACGCCTGGAAATTGTTCACGGGCATCCCGGCAATTTCCACCCTCAGTGAATGGCACCCACAGGTCACCCTCCGGCAGCGGCAGATTTAACTCCGACTTCCTCAGATCTGCCCGTATTTCTTCTTTTCCTGCATTTTTGGGGGGGCAGGGGGAGGAAAACCCAATTCCAGCTTGCTTTCTGGTCCAAAAAAACTTTCTGGCATGCCAGGGCACAAAACCCCCATGCAAAAAAAAAACAACCCAAAGTGTCAGCTCATGCTGTCCAACCAGCACAGCTAGACACTGCTTTTCCTTGCTGCTTTGCCTTGAATTTTGCTCTTTTTCCCAGGATATCCACCCCGCAGCCAAGGACCAGGAAACCAGGCGCTGGGTGCGGATGCATTTCAGTTGTGTTTCCCCCTTGCTCTGCCTTTCCCCTCGCTCGGCCGAGCTCACAAAGAGTTTTGCTAAGCAGAAAAAGCCTCAGCCGGTCGCGGGGCCAAGCCACCCATTTCAGACAGTTCTGAAATATCTGTCAGGGAGAAGCGAGGCAGAGATGCTGCTCCGCGGCGCTGGAGAGGGCAGCGGCAGCTCAAACCAGCTCAGTTCTCTCCCAGCAGCTGTGGCGGCTCTGTGAGGGCTTTCGGAGATGTTCCCATTCTCCATCCAGCAGCTTGGGGGTCACGCAGTGTCCCCAGGAGAGCAGGGGCTGCAGACAGGGGCGAGAAATTCAGCAATTTCAAAATTTATGCTCCAAGCCCCCTGTCCTGCTAGCGGGGGCTGCAAGGAGTTTGCTGGGGGGGCTGCTTCATCTGGGGCTGAAACACAGATGCAAAGGAGGAGGCTTTGGGGTGAGAGAAAGATGTTCATCCTGTTAAGGTTTTGCAAGCAAAAACTAAGTCCCAGGATTTCGATGTCTGATTTGGGGCTGAAGGAAGGAGAGTTTTGGGCCCCAAATCGCCCTCACATGAGGGTTGTGTGCCTGGGAAGGGGTTTTCTCACCCATCCTACAGCAACGGCTTTGCTGGTGCTGCCTGGGTTCTGCCACGGCTGCTGCATGGCCTTCCCCTCTCATCTGGACTCAGGGCAGAATCAAGGGGATGGTTGTTGCCTGGGGGGAGCTCTGTGGGGTTTTGTGCAGGGGCAAGTGAGGCAAAGAAGTGGAAATGCAGCAGATCCCTCAAATCTTGCCTGTACAACCTGCCCCAATCTCCCCCTTCGAGAGACGGAAAGTTAAGGGGATAAACCTGTCCCAGTTTCCCCCTCCAAGGGATGGCAAAGGGCAGAGCTAAGGGGATAAATCTTCCCAAATCTCCCCCTCTGCAGCACAGCAAAGGGCAGAGTTAAGGTGACAGCAGTTTCAGGGACCGTGGCTCAGTGGCAGAAGAGCAGGTCCAGGGTGACAGCTCCTGGGGACAAGGGATTGGATTTTGGATGAGTCTGAGGACATCTCCCCCACCCAGCAGCCCCTCACGCAGCGAGGCGCAGCCTCCATCCCCCAAGACACAGACGTCCACAGAGACTCGCAGGAGCCATCCCGCTCCGCAAGAGCCTCCCAGGGGCTTCCCCCAGCATCCTCGGCTCCTCCACACTCCCATCCCCATAGGAAATAACTTAGCAGCTCACAGCCCCAAAACAGCGGTGAAACCCCAGCCCTAGGCAGGGTCCCTGCACCCCTTGGTGTCCCCTGGCCAGGGCTTGCCGTGCGACGTGCTTGCCACAAGATGGGGCCCGAAGATTGGGAATGCCAGCACGCCTCCAGGCACTTGGAGGGCCCCTTTGCCCCGGGGCTGACCCCGGGGACACTTGTCTGACCTCAACGTGGGCAAAGACCCCCACCGGGAGATCCCTTGTGGCCTTTTAGGTGGCCTTTTTGAGAGGTCGCATGGGTATATAGAGAGAAGTGTCGCTTCCTGGAGAGACAGGACTCAGAGACGGGGAGGTTTTGCAGAGCAGGAGGGTTATCCCAAGGTTTTCAGTCCCTGCAAGACTCCAAAATGACCATATTTCAAGCAGGGAGTGATGCTGCTGTACTGTGATTTTGGAAGTGCCCCCAGGTCCTCAGGCAGGGCTGTCCACAGAGAGGAATGTGCCCCAAATGTGCCATCAGATGGGGCAGCCTGTCCTGCAGCAGGGTGGAGGGGGGTCCTGGGGATGAAGCCATGGGGTAACAGGCAACTTCAGAGCACCCCAGGCCAGAGGTGGAGAGGGGACATTGGTCCATCATGCTGCATTCCCCCTCCAGCACTGGGACCTACCCCACTCTCCGTCCCCTTTTCAGACCAAGTTGGGTAAGATGGGCAATTGCCAACTTCAGAGAGCATAGAAATATCACTGGTGGCTTCAGGCTGACCAGAGAGGAGCTGAAAGGAAAACCCACCTTTACAGCAGCTGGTGATACACACAGTTACTCCGCGGAGGTGTTAGCAAGGTGGAGAGGGCTGCATGGGGACTGCAACGAGATTGCCCCAGGCAGGCAGTCACCCACTGTAGAAACCAGCTCTCCTGCAGCAGGCACTTGTGTTTCGACAAAGGGACGGCCAAATCCTCCCTTCCATGGAGGCTGCAGCCTTGCAAAGCACTTTGGACATCCCACCTCCTACCCAGCACCCCAAAAACAAGGGCTTGGGGGTTGCACCTTGGAGGAGGAGGCCCCGAGACAACTCATTCCAACCTGCCCTAACCTGGGACCTGGGGGGAGACCTGGGACATGAACCCAGGTCCATGGGATGTGGGAGGACAGGGGGATTATGGTGCTCTGCCCTAGGCCCCGCGGGAAGCTCATGCCCATCTCTGCCCTCCCCTCACTCTTTC